TAGAAATGGAGACCCCCGATTTGTCTTTAGGTACCCCAGAAAGGTTTAGACCTTAAAAGCAATGACACACCCAAAAAGGTCTGGGCATATATGGTAAAACGTTAATATTTGCGATTATTGGCTTTTTCTTATATGATTGTTAGTCTTTCTCACTTAATTTTTAATTGCTACTAAGAAAGAGAGAACTGGGCACAGTGCACCTATAGTCTTAGCTACTCTGGAGTCTGAGGCAGGAGAATTACTGGAACCCAGGAGTTCGAGTACAGCTTGGGCAACATAGCAAGATCCTATATCTTAAAAAAAGCAAGCAAGCAAGCAAGAGAAGCAGCGGGGATTTTAGGAGGTGGTTCTGCAGAAGCCAGTCCTTTACACCATCTTCAACAATCCCGGCTGTTGCTGAAGTAGACTAGGGGAGTCCCTGAGGGGCAGCCCTACCTCATGCTGAGACCGCTGCAAGCCTTGGTGGTGGAAATATTTGATGAGACTCCCAGGGGCCCTTGGGACCTTGGGCTTTGAGGACCAGACAGATCAGAGGACTGTGCCCCTTTCTCCCCTCTATAGATTGAAGTAAAGCTCTCGATCAAGTTCAACAGCAGGGAGTTCAGCTTGAAGAGGATGCCGTCCCGAAAACAGACAGGGGTCTTCGGAGTCAAGATTGCTGTGGTCACCAAGTGAGTGGGGAGGGGCTTGGGCTCATGCACTGAGGGTGCCTGTCCCTTCAGCTGTTTCTGCAGAGAGGAGCATGTGTGGGTCTCTCCTCTCTGTGCGTGGCCGCTGCGTGGTGAGGTCAGGCCCCAGGGAACACTTGGTGTGTTCAGCCACCTCCTGTGTTTACTCAACACCAGCTCAGGAGTGTCCTTGCCGCCTTGCTTGGAAGCAGTAGGGCTGGCTCCAGGAACTGCCCGAGTGCCGGGTTTTCTGCCCTCGCTTGGAATTTGTCATGGTCCCAGGTTCCTGTTGAATGGCCATAACCCCTGCCCCTTTGTCACGAGTCAGTTGCCAAGAGAAACTTGTTTGGTTTGAGAGCAGTTCTTGCAGACACAGACCACTTCCTCTGA